TAGGGTCATGAGCTGACTCCGTAGCTTTTAGGATCAATTTTCGGACAAGGAAAAAAAATTGAAGGAGTGTTAATAAAGAAATAGATTTTATTAACCTCAACAATCTATCGACATTGATTTTCTACAGTTTGTTAAAGTTGGGCTTTTGTTTTGTTAAAGACGTCAAAAATGGTCGTACCTTTAATTTTAGGGTCTGGAATTGATTCTGAATTAATTTATGCGTACCTTTTAGGGTCATTTTTCAATCCGTCCATCGAGCATACCTACAGCTTTTTCCCGATTGTACATAAATGTGATCTTTGAAGGGAAAAAATCGATTTGTTGTTTTAGAATATTGTTTAATTGATTTCATAGCGGAGATCCCTTCGGCCCGCGCGAGCGGAGCACCATAACTAAGGAAAAATGGTAAACCCATGGGGTTGAGTTTTGATCAACCGACACAGGAAGCCCAGTTATCCTTCCGTACGTCCGTCTGTCCGTCCGTGTACATCGCGATTCTGATTGGCTACTTTTGAGAAGGCGGGAAAAGGAAGCGCACTCGCGTCAATTTTTGAAACAACTTTTTCACCACAACGACGACACAACGACTCCATTTTTGTGACGAAGGCCTTCTGGGAAGGCTTCGTCACTATGTCATCGGGTCTGAGTGAGTTGTAACCATTCCAATTGAAGCAGGCGTTCCTAGCGGTTATTTTCAGATTTAAACTCAATTTTATCTCGATGCCGAATTAAAATTCCCATCCTGGATAACCTCATGGCTGTTTGATTCCCGTGTACATTGAGAGGCTCTATTCTTCTAAATCAACAACCGTTTATACGAAGGGTAGATCAGTAAAATGATTTCGTATGGATATTATTTGTTGTGTGCAGGGGGTGCGATCTTACAACCACACCCTTTACGTTGTAACTCCATACCGTCTTCTTAGGGTGACATGCAGGTCAGCCTTTCATGAAAGCAGCCTGGATCAACGACCCTGGGATTCATCTGGTGAATAGTCACTTCACACAGTCCTTCCTAAAACTGCTTTGTCTTCCTTACAACAAGAGTTTCTTGCAAGTACTGCTTTGCCATTAAACTATTGGTTGGTGATTGTTGTTTGTTCTTCGCAGTCTCGTTTACAAATTGGTGATGGTAACGCTTATGCTTTTCAGGACTCAATTAAAAAGTTTAGCGCTCCATGGTGGTTTAAGGGCATGAAAAACATCTGATCGGAGACAGATATTCTATTTTGACTGTAATTGCGTGATTAAGCTTCGAGAGTCATTAGAAGTAATAGAATGTTTAATTGAGGTGTTACTTGATATTTCAACTCCCGCAATCTCTGCACGAATGAATCACACTACATTTATTGATACATTTGCTTCTCTTCAACATTAGTCCTCCCCAATCTCATTGCCAGAAATTTGGGACATTTATCAAAAATCATAGAATGTTGTTATTTTTAAGAAAAAAAGTACAAATACGGCTTGAAAAGACATACCAGTACTAAATAAAGGCTTATAAAACAGAAATATGATAATATAGAGCGATTTTCCAAAAAAAGCTCCAATTTCTATTGTTATGTTTCGCCACAGGAAGCCCAAGACCTCTAAATCCACTGCAAACGTGAAAATCAAAAAAAGGAAGGCCTTGGGCTCCCTGATTGCTTCCCAGCATGCAATAAAAGCTTCGAAAAGCAAAATGGCAGCACAGCGATTATTTTGGTGTGTTTTGATTCTTTTTTTAAGCGTTTTTTTGAAATTTTTAAGAGATATCATGGCGACTTCTAGCCTAGAAAATAACCANAATTGCATGGAGATTAGGTTAAGTTTTGCAGAAAACGATCAAAACTCGGTATAAAACGACTTGAACTCAGTGAACACGAACGAGACAAACTTCTGTTCGTTTAAGTTTATAGTTTTGGCTGATGTTTTCCATGCTTTCATGTATGTTCATTCTGGATGGCAAAAAACTTAATTCTCTTGAAAAAAAAACATGTCTTCTTACTTTGCTTTAGTTTGTTTGCCTTCCTGTCCACTAATAAACTCTTCAAATGTGGAATTTTGATCAACAAACACAGTTCACCTTCAGCCATTTTGCCATCAACGCGCGGTATGTGAGAGAAGCCATTTCAGTGTTGTGAACGTCGCTTTCTGATTGGCTGATTACGGTTTTTCTGTGTTGTGATTGGTTATATTTTCACGTGTGAAAAATGCTATACGCGCTTCTGATTGGACGTATCGCTATTTTTCACATGTGAAAATATAGCATACAGATTTCCATTTATGCCACTTACTCTATGAAAGTCTCGTTATATATATAATAAAAAACTATTCGTTTACAAATGTGGTATCTGTGATCTCATCGGAATGCATCAGTCTAGGCATCAGAAGTACGCGCATGTGCGGAACGCATGGAGCTTCGAGTAGTATGCTTACGAAACTGAATTCTAGCGCTAGACAGTCTTGTTTGTGCAAAGATTTCAAATTAGAACAAGAAGAAACTTTGTTTAATTTATCAATAACAAAAAGGCGACTTTGATTTTTTTATAGGCATCTTTTGTTTTTTAAATAAAAGATTTAAATTAATTTTTTTTTGGCCTTAGCCTGTGTACATCCGTTTCTCACCACTCCAAAAAAATCGGAGAGAGAACGTCTAAGAGGTCAACAATTTGAATTAAAAACGTATTAGCTATATCACTTAGAAACATTTAGTCTACCACTTTTGATTTTATCAGTTTTGATTTTATCAGTTCAGTTTTCAGTTGTTCGCAGGGTATTAATTACATGACCTTTTAGGTCAAAATTTAGATTTCTATCGTTTTSAAGTCGTTGCAGAGAGCAGTCAAAAAGAATATCGTATCGTGTGAATAAACGGTTTTGAACAGTACATTAATTAAGTGAAAGTAATGCATTCTTGCTTTCACTATGTATTAGAAGTAAAAATATATTTTCTTCTATTATCGTCTTTAAAAACTTTCACTCGTGTCTTTATCAAATTTCAAAAATAGTTAGTCCGACTTCACGCTCCAGGAGCGTCTAGTTGTTTAAGTCTCGATACAGGTTTCAATCGTAAGCGTTTGCTCTCGATGTTTAATCGTAATATTCACTCGAACTTTCGAAATCTAGATTTCTAATATCAATTGTCGAGAGAACAATGAGGATTTCATAAAAAGTAAATTGAGAAAGTGTCAACATTTATAGCGTACAGCTACMATCGGATGAAACTACAGGGATCCCATATCGATAACAGTCGTGTGACATTGATGAGACGGCGAGCCGTGGTTGTTGAGAATGGCGTCGAGTGTTACTTGCATTAAGTMCTTTCTTATGGCAAGCTATATGTTGGTAGTGTGTGGTGATTTACCAGTTGTTTTGAACACTTGGRCGTTTAAAGTAGCATCGGATAAAGGTAAGCGGAGATCYGCTGTTCTGAGTGTCGAGATATCCAGTGAYCCCGGCCAAATAACTCAAATGAAATAATAGTCAATGTTATCTCTGGTATCTAAGTCATTCAGTAGCTACTGTCACTAAATGATGCATAAATATAACCGGTAAAAAACAAAACCGGTACCAGAAACAACTGACTTGTGACTTTCGTGACATTCGTAAGATATTTTCCACGCATAGTCTCGAAATACTGTTACCTCCGCATATATTGGCGTTACAATTCCATATTCGATAACATATACATTCAGCTAGTATTAAAAAAGGTTAAAACATTTAAGAAACGGGTTGATTTGGTTGTGTTTTCAATGGAGCCATTCACACTCCCGGTAAGCTACAATCCCGGTCAAAAGGGTTGAGACACAGTGATGAAAATAGTGTTTTTATATGTTTACTACAGAAAAAAAAAACTAATTTAAATCCCCATTCCCCCCTAAATCAATGTTTTGAGTCGTGAATTATCATTTGTGGTCTTTCATAAACTACATTCATTCAACTTTGCAGTGAGGGGAGCGGGTAGTAGGGAATTGTAGGCATTTAAAAGCAACCTCGTCAAATTTCATTAATTTTAGAGTCAAAAAATGGAATGTCTCAACTAGTTTTGACCGGGATAGTAGCTAACGCTCTAAGACTGCTCACACGGGACACTGTACTTTTTTAGTATTTATAGCTAATTGAAACGGTACGTATGCCATTCAAAAGCGCTCTTTCTATGCCACTAAGACTCCAATTATCAATAAACAAACGGTATATACATTAATTTCCCGAATACCTGTCCCCCACATCCCGATATTATGGGATACTTTTCATCTTACTTTTCGTTTGCACGTTACGTCATAGATCAAAAAAATAATAATAATAAATAATTTCCCATGAAATCGCTTAGCGACATTTAATCTACCGCGTTTGATTTTATCAGTCAAAGCAAGGATTTTTTTAAAAATATTCGCCTGAAAATAACTTTTTGGAGATTCTTRTGGTAAGTTCTGGTCCATGTACAAAACACTTCGATAAGTATACTTTAAGTAGGTTCTTTTTTTAAACATTAAAAATTAAGTCAAATTTAAGTCTTAAGAAATTTTGCATATTTTGAACTAGACGCTCTTAGAGTGTGATGTCGGGCTATTTTGGAAAAAATTGAAAACGACAGGATATTCTTCATGGCTTGATAGTTCTATCGTTTTGACGTCATTGCAGAAAGTCGTCAAAAAATAATATCGTAGCGTGTGAGTAAAAAATTAGAATTTTGAACAGTACATTAATTGAAGTAACGCATTCTTGCTTGCACTATGTATGAGAAGTAAAAAATATATTCTCCGCCATAATTTACATTCATATATAATCATATGATAGATAGAATATTACACCATAATCTTATCGTGTTTAAAACTTTTCATTCGTTCGCCTATTCGCGCACCCATGTGATGTCCTGTCTTTCTCAATTTTCAAAAACAGTAGCCCGACTTCACGCTCTAAGAGCGTCTAGTTTAACTGAAAAGACCACGATGACAGAGCTATAACTATGCATGATTTCAGCCTATGAAGTGATGGAGGCAGGACAGTCTTCGCTTGATGCAGTTGTTAAAGGAATRACAGTGTGCGAGTTGAAGCCTTGTGCAAAGAATCCACTGAACCCTAATGTGGGTTTTGGAGGAAAGTACGTATTTAGCTTACTGACATATTGATTTTGTACATATGTCTGGGCTGCYCAGAAAAACATAAATTAAGAGATCTAATTTTACCGAGAATGAATCACTCTTTACAATAAATTATTCTTTTTAAGACCAAATGAAGAAGGAGAAACGACTCAAGATGCCATGATAATGGACGGGTAAGAAAACACATGTGGGTAGACTCAAGTTGGTGCAGGAAGCCCATGTAAGCGCTCTCTGAGCGTCTAGTTAAGTTATAATTGGAATAAGTTCAAGTATTGGATCAATTATGTTTTAGTGTTACTCATGCAAGTGCTGCTGTTGGGTGTATAAAAAGAATCAAAAACGCAATTGGTGTAGCAAGAGCAGTCATGAAGTACACCAAGCATTCTCTGTTGGTCGGTCAGGATGGTAGAGTATTTATTGCTTGCTATCCCCCCCTACTTCTGCTTGCCTCTACCTTCTATCGGTTATATAATAAAAATGTATACCCGTCATATGGTCTTCTTGTCGCTGCTCATTGAAGGATGTTAACAATCCTAATCCTCACTGTTTATTGACAAGATTTGACCTAATTTTATCGGTCATGACATGGTAAAACGCCACTTTTAGTTAATAAACTAGTATTTAAAAAGGTTTACATCGATGAGGAAAACCTACCGTCTGCATATGTTTTTTTAAGCCACAAACTTTGCGAAACGCGTGGGATTTCCTGAGGAGGATTTGCATACTAACAATTCCAGGTAATGTGTAAAAATAAAAGAAAATAATATTATACTTTAGAAAGCAACATAATCAAACAAATCTAGGGGCGGTTTTAAAAGCTGGTGAGTGCCATCAAAGTGTCCTGCACCCCTATACCTGTAGAAAATTCTGGATCCACCCCAGAAACTAGTTGGTTATAATTACTATAATACTAGAAGTTCTTTTCATGATCAAAACTAAGTATCGAAACCACATTGCAAGCAACCAATTGCTGTCATGATTATTTTGCATTTTATAAAGGACTGATTCTAAATTCCTTTTACAGGAAGACTTGGAATGATTGGAAAAACAAAAAATGTCAACCAAATTTTTGGAAACCGGTAAGAAGAACTATTACTCCTATGAGGTTGACACCTTTTCTAATGTTGGGTAGATTCGTTGTATCGTATATCGTATCACAATACAATGCTGCTGATTGCCGTGTCGCATTGTCTAATTAATACAATCACCTTTAAACAAATTGCTTATGAATTATAAACGATTCGTGTAACGAGTTACATGTTTGTCACTTTATGTGGAATTCAATTGTAGATTGTTTCTGGTGCAAATAACAGCTGTGGACCTTACAATTTTCCATCTCGAGCTAAAAGGTAAATAAAAGAAAATATGGCTGCATTGTTTTTTGGCATAGGTGTTTACTGTGGTTGCATTTTTTGGTTGATTGATTAATCGCCCGCAATTGTTTCCTGGGAAATAATAGATCATTGTTTTGTTCACGACCATCAAATCTGGCCGCTATATCGAAAATGGGATAATTATTAAATGGTAATTATCAAATTATTGGTAGATTATCTAAAATTTGTTTCTGTAGGCAAACCCTCTCAAGCAAGCTTAGAATCGATGACAACAACCATGACACAATCGGTGAGTCTATTTTGAAAACCGTTAACTGTTCCAAACTTTCATTATTGTTATCATTATTTCATTATTTCACTATTGTCGCTCGGTCATTACAATTACGTGTAATATTTCGTCTTTGAGTTACGAGAAATCACACTACATCTTTTGGGTTTGGTAATCTCAAAGGAAGATAGTATGCCTTTCAATGCCCAATCGCATCTGATAGCATTTCTGATGGGTCGAAGATTTAGATATTCTCCTTAAAGTTCGCGTAGTACGTTTTTGGCCTGCTTCGCTCCAAGTCATGAAATCCATGAATCCACAAACGTAGCGGATTCTGTGTCAGTTAGGTGACCTGTTTTAAACGATACTTTCTTCACACATAGTATGCTAGTTTTGCCAACGTGATTATGTTGAATTTATGTTGAGGTCCTACCACGAAAAACATTTTTCATTAGAAGATCTAAATTAGTACATGATAATAATTAATAGTAGATTCTTAAAGATAGCACTGCAAGTACAACAAAAACTCTGCGATACATGACAAGGTTTCATTTTAGCTAAAAACTACTAAAATAAAGAGAATAACTTCTTTTGCTGATGCTGTCTGGCGGAAGAACGAAAGTTAAAACAAGTTAGTGAATCGATTCTCAACTTTTGATACTTTTGGCACTTTAACTGCTCACCATGTGCATTGCAAGTGACTTGTGTCAATCAACTCTTGCTACATTATGGACTTGAACCGCTGAGCGTATATATCGTGTGTTCTGCAAGTGACATCAGAATATTTCAGCGTATTCCTGACAGACTCGCTTCGCTAGCAGCGGTGTTGAGTATACTTGATTTCTATTTCAACAGGAATGGTTGCAGTTGATGCTAATGGTAATGTTGCAAGTGGAACTTCTACAAACGGTCTTGSTTTTAAAATCGCAGGGTAAGAATGGTTTAGCTGATGCATGTAAGCAATAGATACGCCAAACTTTTATTGTTTTATGTAGTTTGAATCTTTATATAAATACCACATTTTGCTAATCCCATTATATTTCATTTATCGTTAAGAAGTGTTTTTATTTTTCCGTGCAATGAAAGTAGTATTTGTTACAAGTAAAGAACAAAAGCAAACAATACATTCAAAGTTTTATACCAAGTATAACGTCTAGGTTATATGTCAAATCTCGCATGTGCTGAACACAATTTCTAGTCAACTTGAATAATCAAATACAGTATTGGATATAGACGTTTAACATAAATCCCAATCCACTTTCGGTGGCTTTGTTTTCATTTTGACGGATAAAAAAGACGACTATTTCATATAAAATATTGAAATAACTAAACGACTAAAGGGCATTGTTGTGAGATYCGTAATAATCAACTACAGAGGCATTGCTGTACCTTAGTTCCGACTGTTTCAGTTGCAGATTCGACTATTTTCATTCAACATTGTCGAATCTAATTGATTTAAATGCCGCACCTCAAATGTATTTAATTTGTGAATTGTGTTGGCCACATGAGAAGTTSGGTGTTTAACCTCATCCTAAGTCTCACTGATATTTCAAGACCTTTCAAAGTCAAATAAAAACGYCTCTAGTTGACACTGCAAATACTGCAAAGTGTAGAAMGCTTTCAGCATACTGTAGGAGATCAAGATTCGCGGTGCGATTATTATTGAATATTTGTATCACTTTGAAGACGAGTTGGCGATTCACCAATAGCTGGAGCTGGTTCATATGCTGATAATGACGTAGGAGCAGCAGCAGCAACAGGAAATGGTGACGTCATGACCAGATTTCTACCAACGTGAGTACTTTAATGGTGCGTCCAATATCAATGGAAACTTTATCGTGAGCCTTCTTTAGTGCTAGTGAGTGGTGATTGTGTGGGTAGTACTTAGTGGTTGTGAGTGGTAGTTGTTGCGGTTGTGGGTGGTAGTGGTTGTGAGTGGCAGTGGTAGTGGTCGTGGGTTATAGTGATTGTGGGTGGTAGTGTCTGCAGGTTGTGGGTGGAAGTGATCATTGTCATCTATTTTTCCGTACATATATTTTCAGATATCAAGCAGTGGAGTTCATGAGACAAGGATACTCCCCTGAGCAGGCTTCACAGTTGGCTCTTTTGCGAATTGTTAAACACTATAAAGACTTTATAGGCGCTTTAATCGCTGTTAACAAAAAGGGAGAGTACGGTAAGTAAATCAGTTTAATCAGAAATGTTTGGATATATAACGCGCGCTCTGATTGGCTAATGACTGTGTTTATATCAGAGACACGCGCGCCGTTTTCTATTTCTTAAATATACAATACAGAGCAAAAATAGTTTTGATAGGTTTGAAGGAACATTAAATCTGCTCAATTTTCAAACYATTATTGTTGCGATTTAAATGAAGRTTTTAGAGGAGATTTTATGGTAACACAAAATCGCTTCTTTGAACTCAAAACGCGTCTTTTGAGTAATTCTGAGGYTGTTTTTGGTGAATTTCGAGCTGCTTTTATTCGAGTTATCCGKCATTGTTTTTTCTAWTGCTCTGTTGTTTCCACCACTCTTTATATTGTCCAATTCATCAGCAATCATAAAGCCATTTTTGCCTCAAATTCATATCAAACTTATTGCCATGCATCGGGTGACATTTGCTTAGATTAGATCTTTTGATATGTTAGAAATGAAGAGGCTGTGAACAAGAGCACGAATACGGCATTTTTTTAAAGAATATATAGGTTTATCGTTCATTAGAAAAGCAAAAAGCTTTAAAAAAAATATCTCGGATTTTGCTCTCCGAAACCCTGGGACTCTTCAACAATAGCTTTTACTTCAATAACCTTATAATAAGAATAATCAAAACCACAGCATACAATACTCTTAAAGCCATTTTTACACAAGTATTTCTTCGGAACGATAGATGTATCACACACCAAAATGCGCCAAATTACATAAGCTATTTGAATTTGGAGGTAGGTTTTTCATCAACTAAATGAGTTATGCACGAGGCCCAGTTTTTTGGAAGCGAACCGTGTTACGCTGGAGAACAGCAGGCATAAATCGCGTTAGTTAGTTATATCATTCAGAATAACATGATCTTCATTCATGACGGTAGTATGAAAAACAATAGAATAATAGAAACATCTTTTCTCGGAGAACCCCGTGACCCGGTACAATGGTTTACATAGTGCAGGACCCGGTACAACTATGGTTTACATAGTGCAGGACCCGGTACAACTATGGTTTACATAGTGCAGAGAGCGTAAAGAATGTTTTTGTGATTTTATTCGTAGGTGGTGCAACTTACAATTACAACCAGTTCATTTATTCTGTACGTACTCCAAGACTCGGAGAGTCGAAGTTAATCAAGGTTGCTCCACTGGACCCTACCAAAGTCATCAAAGAACGACCCTGCAGAGCAAGCAATGGTACTAGGATCTCGTTCCTTCCATGGACGTTATTACCACTATTTTTTTATATGGTTCTTTGAGATTTGTATAACTGCTCACTGCAATGGTCAAGGCCATGGTTGGAAGTTGACGCATTTTTTCCTTTTAAAACAGTTATAGTTCACTTAGTTACGTAGCACANCTATGGTTTACATAGTGCAGGACCCGGTACAACTATGGTTTACATAGTGCAGGACCCGGTACAACTATGGTTTACATAGTGCAGGACCCGGTACAACTATGGTTTACATAGTGCAGGACCCGGTATAACTATGGTTTACATAGTGCAGGACCCGGTACAACTATAGTTTACATAGTGCAGTACCCGGTACAACTATGTTTACATAGTGCAGGACCCGGTACAACTATGGTTTACATAGTGCAGAGAGCGTAAAGAATGTTTTTGTGATTTTATTCGTAGGTGGTGCAACTTACAATTACAACCAGTTCATTTATTCTGTACGTACTCCAAGACTCGGAGAGTCGAAGTTAATCAAGGTTGCTCCACTGGACCCTACCAAAGTCATCAAAGAACGACCCTGCAGAGCAAGCAATGGTACTAGGATCTCGTTCCTTCCATGGACGTTATTACCACTATTTTTTTATATGGTTCTTTGAGATTTGTATAACTGCTCACTGCAATGGTCAAGGCCATGGTTGGAAGTTGACGCATTTTTTCCTTTTAAAACAGTTATAGTTCACTTAGTTACGTAGCACATGAGAAAAATTAAAAGATAATACATAAACGAGTGAATCATTTCATCACTACAATACAATGGGCTGCTACTCACTTGCCGCTGAAAATTGGACTAGTCTTGCGCTGACCGGTGAAGAGGCGACGCGGTATCTGTCTTCTAAGAAATTATTAACCGAGCATAAGTTTGAAGGTTTCTTTAAATGTTCTTATTTTCAGGTCATAAGACGGTTATTTTATTCACACATTGGTATTAAGTATAGTCTAAAACACCATCTCGATTGTTTTAAACGGCTTCAAAAGCTTCGACARTAATTCAAAACTCAAACCATTTAAGACTCTTGGATAAACATAGTCTTAAAAGTAACCTTGGAAATGAAAGCTATTTTTAAAAGTTTGGCACACACACACTGAAAGTCTTGTATTTGTTTTCAAATCTAAAGGTTCCTAATTAAACACACATTATTGATTCCTCGGCAACGTGGCTTTGAACCTTCGAAGGTTTCATGAAGGTTATAATGACTTCCCATTCTTTATTATTTCTAAGGACGATGATTGCATTAGTTTACGCACGTCGGCAAGGAAGGTGTGAAGGTTTGTTTGTTGAATTAAATGGCAGCAATTATCAGCTGCTAACATTTCTGATTTTCTGTTCACAAGGCTGAGCCGTTACAAATTAAAAACAGATCAAACAAGAACCACTACGTGGAACATACAGTGTCCAGGTTACGCTAATATATATTTTACCAGCGCCGCGATCGATTTGATAGATTTTGCGTATGATCTTTTCACATCATAGTTTTTTTGAATATTTTTATGATTGCAGCGAAAAATTTAGCATTCAGATAGCATTTGCATTATCCTCAGAGAATTTATAAGATAAAAGTTTGCTTTACATAACATAATTTTAGAAAGAAAAAAGAACGAGTAATAAGTATATTTCATTAAAAAAAGAAGGAAAGAAAAAAKCATCGCCTAGAAGTGATCAAGTCGAGAATCTAACGCGCGATCCTAAGTTCGAKGCTATTCCAGTACGATAGTCTGTGTAAAAATCAAAATTGCTACGATAAAAATCTGACATGACTAGAACACCTATATTTCAGTTGAAAAAAGAAAGAAGAATTTTTCAGACGTGCTCGAGTTTTTTTTGAAAACGCCCTAATGACCGGCGARGATTTCAGGTTGACGATTTACATATGGATTTCACAATTATTGATTTAGAAAGGCATGTAAATGCCACCTAGATAGCCGACAATTTTGAGTAATCAAATCAGTAGTCATCATCSTAACAGTGGAACTTGAAAAACAAAWGYAAAAAAACGTATTACAACAAGTGAGTGCATCAATACATAACAATAGATCATTAGAGTGTCTTGTTGATCTCTCATCATTAGGAATATATTTCTCTCATTGGTCCTAGTTAGCATGGCATTTGTTGACAAAATAAATGAGCAGTGTGCTCCGTGATACAATTTCAACATTATGTTTTTTTACCATTAACATCTTCATATAGCAAATAAGTCAGTTTTTCCTGTTTGATCAAYATATATCTTTTGCAAAAGTTTGAAACAATGATTTTAAACATCTTCAACTCAATGGAGGCAATTAGAAGACATCATTTGCTTTTATTGAGGTAGGTAATGAATCCATTCTTATGATTATTGGTTGCAATAAGCATAGTATGTGAAACTAGCAAGASGTTATTCACACTCTGGTTTGGCCAGGTCTTGTTACTGAACGGACTTTCAGAGGTACAAAATCTCGCTCTGTATATTCTACTGTTCGTTAGTGGATTTTAATGTCAAATTTGTTTTAGACCGTTTTATTTAATGTTTTTTTTAATCATATTCTATTTTTCCTTCCTTCTTATGATTAACATCACTTCTCTATTGATTTTTTTCTATTTTAGCATCACCAAACCTAACGTAGCCTTTTATTTGACTTTTTAATTAACAGTTTTTTGGCTTTACTAACACATGTTTTTCTGTTTTCGGTTTTGGATAGTTTATATTCTTCACTACAATTCGACCATGCAAGCAGTGAGTATTGGTTTGCCAGCACTGCTGATAATATTCTGTGCACAGTTGTTGGTAGGTATTCTAAGCACGTCAAGTAAAAATGTTCAAATAAGACACATGAA